ATCCATCCATCCATCCATCCATCCATCCATCCATCCATCCATCCATCTTTTGGTCTATCCTGGACCTTTTATTTGAGCCTTTTGGTGGCATAGCTCCCTTTGTGAGTTGACTATCCGGAGCTCAGCTTCATGCTTCCAACTGCTTCCTTAATTACCCCTCTTTTATCTTAGAACTAAGCTCACCTGCATCCACTTTCCTGTTTAGATACCACACCTAGTTCCATCAGCATCAAAATGGCATGGGAATGCTGGAGTGTTAGCAGCAAGTGTCTGGACTGACCATGAATACACATAAGAGGCTGAGTCCAGCCTCATGGGTCTCTGTCCACTGAGGGATGGGGCAACATCTGCTCCTTTCTGTGTCTGAAAGTGACAGCAAGGCTCCTGTGTCATAGGGGCTGGGTCCCTGTGTGCTGTGATGCAGACTGAGGCCAATGGCCTGGTACTGTTTCTGCTCCTCACGTATATTCCTCAAAGGCAAGAGAGGCATGTGCATAGGCGAGTAGCAGGCTGTCTGGAGAGCAGATCCTGCTGGAGTCAGAAGTCGGAGGTAACATTCTAGGACATGCTGTCACAATGAGGCTGTCACTCACATGGCAGGACCCCTGCTGCAGTAGGTATGAAATCCTCTGAGGTTGGACAGCAGGCTCAATCACAAGGGTCTCAGTGCTCTGCCCGCCTCACAGACATTGAGGTCAGGTTGGGGAGGCTACTACAACTCACGTTCCACTCTAGGATAATCTTTGATTGGCAGGTTCTGATTTGCTGTAATCATTCTTACTGCAAAGACATTTGGGAAATGTAGTTTTAGCCTCCCAGGCTGTGGAGCAGGACTCCCAGGGAGGATTGGGTCTAGCCAAAGAGAACAGTCCTCTCTCTGGAGTCTGATCTGATCATAGGTGGAACAGCCTTGAAAGAGCAATGGAGTTCTTGCATGCAAAGCGTCTGGAGGTGGTCTTGTTGCAGTGGGTAGTGGACCTCAGCTTTCTTCAGACTCACTCAAGTGGCTCTTACTTAGAAGCACAGGTTTCTTGTTGGGAGTAAAGGCCACAGATGTAATACCATGTATGTCTTCCCCAAGTTTTGGGACTCAGATGCGTTCTGAAGACCCCAAGAATACCATTTTCCTCCTAGGGAACCTTGTACTTGAGCTATGGAGTTCTGGGGACTTTTCCTGGCTTCTGTGACTTTTTTAACTGGCCTCGGTTGACATGATCCTCCCGTGGGGGAGGAGGGACCCTGCATTCTTAGCACATCCACCTGTTCCAATAGCCCCTGCCGCTTCAGAGTGGAGGTGCTCCACCTGGGTGTGGCACTGGTCTGAAGGGCAGTAGCTTCCTTTGTTGGGGGGAGAGTTTTCCAGAAGCCTGTGTACTGGACACTACTCCGGTGTTCCCCACACCTTGTTTAAGACTAAATATATCCTGCTCTCTGGCACAGAAAGGCCCTGGCCAGCAGGAAGGGTGGCACTGGGCCTAGGAAAGGTCTGATGGCCTCTTTTACACTTGTTGCAATACAGATCTACAAACATCCCCAGGCAGACTCCTGGAAAACCGCTCTCTGCTCTGACAATGGGGAAAGCAGGCTCCAGGCTGGTCTGGGAAGGGCATCATAGTATGGAGACTGTGATTGAGGTCCAGGAAACCCTGCTGGGATCCTCATCTCTCTCCTTGTCCACTGCCAGCCTTGGAGCTGAGTTTCCAAGTTGACCCAAGGCTCGGCGCTGGGTCATTCTGGCCAGGTGTGCCAGCAGTTGGCTCAGGCATCTTCCCACGGCTGTGTCCAGGCCTGGGACTGCACCATACAACCTCGCCAGCATGCTCAGTATTGCCTTTGATGTTCACCGGACAAACCGAACCCAGTGAGGGCTTTGTCACCACATAGAGTACCTGGGGTTGGGAGTGGGGTACCACAGATACACAAGTGATTGACACCTTATGTGGGCCCGGGCACTGGGTAGTGGCTAAGAGCTGCCTAGGATTCTGAGATGGGGAGGCTATCTCGGATCCATAGTGGACTGGCTGTCCACACTGTGCCCTTCAGAGTGATTTCCTGTAGAGGTGGGGAACCCTTCTCTGGAGTAAATGTGGACAGATGCCAAAAAGTTGGCGCCAGACCTGGCCCCTTAAGCAGCCTTGGAGTGAGAGGTAACTTGTCGGTCTCTAGACTTGGTGGCTGCCACTGGAGATCGATCAGAAGCCTGCATGATCATCTTTGGTTACTACCTGCTTAAAAACAGTTTGACTGTCTTCCTGGGGCGCCCCACGGTAATACTCACTTAGGGAGAAAGGTGGGAAGTTAGTGAATCAAGTTTGGGAGGGACAGTCACAGGATAAGCCGATTTCAGCCTCTTGCAGCCTTCAGGTATGGGCTCTGAGTTCTAGGTAGGTATGTGGTATTAGACAGACGGACTCACACAGAATGAACACATGGGCATGTATAGATACCATCTTCAGGCACAGCTAGGTCCAGGTACCCGCTTAGCATGGCAGGAGCCTGTCTCTGCACACACTATATTCCCTGGAGATAGTTGCCCTCTCTGTATATGCAGCCCACATACAGTCAAATAGCAGAATCCTTTTCCCAGAGGACAACCACAGGATGGAGCAACACTGGTCCAGCCTGGTCATGTGACAGGAGGTTTCACACCCTTGTGGTACACTTTGGACTTTGTTCTCCGCTGGATATCCAAGAGCTTCCTATTTGTTGTAACTCAGACTGAGCATAGATAAACAGGAAACCAAGTAGTCCAGGGCAGGCATGTGTAGCCTCCAAGGCCTCTTGATGTGAGGAAAGGGGGCTCTGACAGAGGGGCGTGGTTTGTGTTTGGGGATGTCCCAGCTTCATTTCTGTCACCGAAAGAAAATAAGCTGACAAGAAGAGGCTTAGGGGAGGAAGGAGTTTCTTTCCGGTTAGAATTCCAGGTTACAGTTCATCATTGTGAGGAGGTCAGGGCTGGGTCTTCAGCAGTTGCTCAGCATCACATCCACAGTTAAGAGCAGAGAGGAAGGGCGCTCCAGCTCCCCTGTGTGTCCGGCTCGATTTCTTCACTCTTACACTTCAGGACCCCGTGCCACAGTGGGCTGGGTCTTCCCACGTCAGTTAATTTAAATGAATCCCCATAGTGATGCCTGCAAGCCAACCCAATATAAACAGTTCCTCGATGAAACACTCTTACAAGGTCAAGTTGACAATGAAAGCTAATCAGGGGCGACTGTTGAGTTCTTGATCAGGCACCTGCATTTCAGAGGTCAGAGGGTCAAGTCTGCCTTTCTCTGAGTGCCTCACAAAGGATATGGAGAGTCAGATGCCTTCCTAAAGGGGTCTGAGGTCCCCACAAGCATTCTGTCCTGGGTATTCAGGCCGAGGTCTTTTGAAAGCAGGTAGACTTTGGGTATTTTCTGTGAACTGTTGTCAGAACACGGAGGACCAAATGACATCAGTGGCGGTGGAGAGACAAGTGGAACTCGTGTGATTCAGGCCAGTTGAGGGTTCGGAGTAAGAAGTCCCTGCAGGTTGTAAAGCAAGAAAGGTCGGGGCTGTCTGGGGGTGTAGGCAGTGCCTGGTGACTGAATTGCAGAAGGAGGCAGCTGATTTGTAGGCATGGCCCCGGCAGCTGATTGCAGGAACAGAGATAAACCCATATCTAAGAAGTGTCCCTCCTGGTCCTGAGCAGGCCACTGACCTCTTCTGGACACCAGATTTTGTTGGGGGGCAGAGAGGAGGGGGAGGACTGGCTTCGTTTGTCTAAGACCGTCCTTCTCTACAGGGGGTGGGATGCTCTTCAGTCGTGTCTACCCGGGGCTGACACAGTGTCTCTGTCTTTGCAGCTCAGCCAACAGATCTTCTGGAGATGCTAGATTTTCACAATTTGCCCTCAGGGGTAACGAAAACCACAGGTTTCTGTGCCACTCGCCGATCTTCCAAAGGGCCGGATGTCGCCTACCGAGTCTCTAAAGATGCACAACTCAGCATGCCCACCAAGCAGCTGTACCCTGGTAAGTGGCACCCCATTCCTGTTCAGGGTAGTGGAGGGAATGCTGGGGACTCCAGGGGGCCACGAGAAAGCTGGAGTGGGTGGTTGCAGCAGAACCCCGGGTGTGCTTCCTGGGAGTCCTCCTCATTATAGTGAAACCTACCACCCACCCACCCCTCGTGTGTGCGCAAGCCTCGTCTGTGCCTTGAGGGCTCCAAGCAGACATGTTTCTACCAATGATGGACCACAAAGACAAAGGGCAGAAAGGAAGTGGATGCCCCCCAGGGGTGAGGCCAAGGGAGAACGCAGGTCATGGGAAAGGAAGTACTTGCAGTGGGGAACACAAGCCTAATTGGGGCCAGTGACATAAAGATACTCAAGCCCAACATCCTTGCTGGCAGCTAGCGTGAGAGATCCTTAATGAGAATCTGCTGCCAGGTGCCAGACCTCTGCTTTTAATTATGTATCCTTAGGGAGCCATTTTGTCTGGAGGTATGCATCCAGATCATCCACCCACTTGGGTAGTTAGCTCCTATCCTCCACACCCACTGGCACTGATTAAATGCCCTGGGATTATTTTGTGCTGGGCAGGTGAGAGATTCCTCTTTCCCCGCCTCAGGAGGGCCTGCTGGCTCAACCTGAGGAGCCCCGACTCTGCTGACTCGTGTAAGAGGTGAGCCAGGCAAAAGACACCCTCCTTCTGCCATTAGAAGTCTATGCTCAGTCTTTTGGTGGTCCGGACATGATGCCCCAACATTGGACCAGAATGGAGCAGTTTTTGCAAGCTATGCTGTCCCGGTGGACCTCATGTGTCCACTGTATCCTTGAAGGATGCTCTTGCTGGTTGTGTTGTCACTGTCTCTGGCCTTCTGCTATCTGGGTCTCCCAAACCTCCCAGGGTCTCTCTGATATCCTTGTGATTTTTAAAAGTTTGTATCTGCGTGAGAAGCTGGGTGCTTTGACCAGAGGTGTCATTTTGGATGGATGGGTTTCATGCACCAGGCACATCCCTTGCAACCCCAGGGGAAGCAGCCTGGCGTCTCCAAGGAGCATGCCTTTGGTGCAAAACCACCCTGGGTTGCAGATGCCCAGGTTAAAGAATGCATACGTTATCTGTGAACATAGACGTCCCACACGACCCTTCTAAGTGGGACCCTCACCCTTCCTCATAGGGAGCTGCAGGGATACTGTGCCTTATTTTTAAAGAGAGCATATATTTTGGGGGAAGTTAACCTTGAGGATCCCCAGTCTCATCTTTTCCCAGAGAGTTGTACTTTTTCTGCCTTGTGGCCCAAGAGTTAGAATTCCGGAGTTGGAAACATGGAAGGGGCTGGCCAGGGACAGCAGGGCGTGATGCTGCTGTGGAGATGACTGATAGGGATTGTCCCCAGCCCAGGCACCTTTAGACAGCCTGCAGATAATGGTTTCTCTTGTCACTGTCACCCAAGGCAAGAGCACTAGCAAAACAGGCTGCTACAGTTCCTGTCTGTCATTCTCTCCGCCTGGGTCAGTTTACGGCAGAACTCTTGTGGGATCAGGTCGCTGAGCCCAGGAAATTGAGTGGATCCCTCACCTAGATGATAGGGGATATTTTTGTGGTTGTTGAATAGTTTGTTGTTGCTCTTTTGTTTTTGAGACAGAATCTCATGTAGGCTCAGGCTGGCCTTGAATCTGCCAAGCAGCTAAGGAGGCCTTGAACTCCTGATCTTCCTGACTTTACCTCTCAAGTGCCGGGATTACAGGCACGTGGTACTGTGCCTGGCATCAGCCTGTCCTGAGCGCTTATCCTCTTGCCTTGGACTCCCCAGTGTGGGGATCACAGCCGGGGCCCCTTGGGATCTATTTGTTTATTCATTCATTGGCAGGATGTCAGGTATTCTAGGCTCGTCTTAAATTTTGCTTCACAGCCAAGGTTGACCTTGAATTTATGAACCTCTTTCATCTACCTTTCTAACCCCAAGATTGCAGGCACGCATCAGTATGACGTTTACGTGATGCTGGCGATCGAGTCCAGGATTCCGTGTGAGCTAGGAAAGCATTTTGTCATCTGAGTCCCAGCCTCAGTCGTGGGAAGTTTTTGTTTTTCTTTTCTCCTGTCCTCAAATTAGTAACTTGAGTAGATACTCGGGGTTGCTGTAGTTAGGGTGTGGGGGGTGCACTGGGCCATGCAGTGCGTGTCGGTGGCTTCAGAATGCCTGTAGAGGAAGTTCTGTGGCGTCATCTCCTGAGGCCCCACAGGTCAGTCTGGGAAAGCTGTCCAGGGGGCAGCATTGTATATCACCTGATGTATGAGAGTGCATACCTCAAAGCTTTTGGTTAATCCTGGAAACTCCTGGGAGGCACTGCAGGCTTTCTGACTGGCAAATGCTCAGGAAACAGGTCAGACCTTGTGGGATGGCTCCCGTAGGATTCTTGTAATCCCATGCCAGCCCTTGCTACAGCCTAGGTAAGAACGAGAATGGCTGTGTACTGCTCTGTGCCTCCTTCCAGAGCGCAGGGGCTGCTTGGTTGCACCAGGGTGGGGAGTCTGGCTGTCGCAGGAGTTACCCTAGGTTGCCTAAGGGCTCCAGGCAACCGCAGCAAGGCTGGATTGAGTAGAACATGAATACACGTCTGTGATTGTCTTAGTGAAGCCCATGGTTAGTGGCTGAACTCCACGATAGTCTTACTCTAATGGGCTGATTGATTTCCCATTCATAGCCTGTGCAGTCTGGGTCTCTAAATGACTGGGCATGCTTGTCCATGGAGTAGGGTCTAACCATTCTCTCCCACAGGACACCAAAGAGAAACAGGATATCAAAGAGAAACTAACAGGTCCTGCATGAAGGTGGCCACGAGTCCTCCCTGCATACAACCAAGCTTTACTGTCCCTGCGTCTTGGGTGTAGAAATTCATTTCCTTCTGTTCTTGTGCTGGGCACTGAGGTTTTCCCTTTGCTGACTCTAGGCAGCAGGGATTGACTTGGAGGCCGTCTCCTCACCCCAAGACAGGGTTTCTCTGTAGCTTTGGAGTCTATCCTGGAACTCACTTTTGTAGACCAGGCTGGCCTCGAACTCACAGAGATCTACCTGCCTCTGCCTCCCAAGTGCTGGGATTAAAGGTGTACGCCACCACTGCCCGGTGCCAGGGCTCCATCTTTACTCCAGAATCCTAAGTCGTCAGCAGGCCCCAGGCTCTAGAAGTAGCCCCCGCTCAGCGCTCAGCAGAGCAGCCAGCTGTCCTTATTGCTCCTCCCACTGTGGCTGGCACAGGCCCTGGGTCCAGCAAGTTCACCGTTGTCCACAGGATGAAACACTTCTTAGAATGATGGTCCTATACTGTGGTCATGGGTTGAGGGCAGGGTGCTGGCTGCCTGAGCAGGCCCCGTGTGACTTAAGGACCTAGGACAGAGAGAGAATAGAGCACCAGGCCAGAGGTACTGTATTCTGTCAGTGAACAGAACTGTGTGCTCTCTGAGAGGCTGTGGCCAACCCACACATATAGCAGCACGTGGGATTCCCTGGGTGAGGGGTACTTCACCCCATTCCTGTACAATAAGATGTGAGATCTCTTAGTTCAGCAATGGCTTCCCCTTCCTCTCTCTACAGGATGGCCTTTGCCTTGTACCCCCATCAATATGTGATGTCCCTTGGTAAAGGAATGGCCTGCCTCTTGTCCCCACATAGAGTGGTATACGGAATCCTCCAGTTTAGGGCTATCATGTCTCTTGCACCCCTATTCAGTAGAATGTAGGGTCCCTTGTTTAAAGGAGCCCCATCTCTCACACACCCTGTATTGGGGGTGCGAGGATCCCTTTGGGCAGATGGCCCACCTTTGACATTTACTTGGTTGGTTGGAAGCACTCCTCTCTCACTCCCGCTTAGGTCCCAGGCGTCTCATGGTGATAGGCCAGCTGCAGGTGCCTTGCCCTCACTTGGGGACCTGGGGGGCCAGACTGGATGACCCCAGAATAACCCCATCCTGTGGGAAGTGACAGATGGCAGCCATTCTCCAGTCCCATTATCTTGTCCAGAGTCAATGGACAGTTCCGCGGGAAGGTGGAGGGAAGCCAACGAGAATCCCTCTGGCCCACCAGGGATCACCGAAATGCCTCGCTGGCTCCCTGTCTGCCTAAAGTTCTCCACACCCTGCGCCATGTCCCGCCCCTTATCTCTTCCATCACCCCACCCCAGGCCGCTGCACATGGGCTGTTATCCAGATAACTCATGTATCGCCCCTGTCCCTTATGGAAGTACTACTTCCTGGGAGCGAGAACCATGTTTGTCCCTTGGCTTCTCCCTGGAGCCTGGCCCATGTTAGAGGAGTCGCCATAATTATTGATTACCTCACCACGGTGAGTGATACATCATCCTGTCGATAGCCGTTGACTAAGCCTGAGTCCCTTCCGTGGTAGTTGCACATGCTAGCCTCCCGTCGTATTCCCGACATGGACAGGAGTCTCTGGGCGTCAGTGGAAGGAGAGAGGGTGTGCCATGCGGGCAGCGGCTGGTCCTCCACCGCACTCACCTCTCAGTGGTGGCTTTTCTGAGCCAGATGAGTTAGGAAGCACCAGACAGCAGGTGCACTTCTCCCAGACTGCCTGGAAACTTGGAGTACGGTGTCAGCGTCCAGCTCCTGTCACAGCTGAGAAGGAACCGTCTTAAAGTGACTATAAATCCATTGTTATTTTGCCAGGAGAGAGATTAATGTTCTACATAATTTATCTTTTTCAAGTTTTTTTTTTCTGAGCTGAGGAAATTTGTTACCATAGCGATTCCAAACATTGAGAAAGAGCATTTTAAATGAGCTGAGAGAGACGGGCTGGCTGTCCTCAGCCATAGATCACGATGGAGAAGGAGGACTCTCTCATGTCCCACTCTTATTCTTCCAGTCAATGACTGCACGGGACAGAGTCAGGGAGGGCACAGAGGGGGGATGAAGACTGCACGGTCCAGCCCGGATGCAGACATTGGCCTCCAGGCTGCTATAGCGACCACTCTGGTGCCCACTTCCTGCAAGTGCCTGCCAGCAGCATGGCTAACTGCTCCTCAGCTGGAGGGCCGTCCACCAGGCATGCATGCCAGTCCACCAGCCCCGCCTAACTCTGAGACCTCTGTCTTCCTTCACATCGCTGCATAACGGAGGCTGCAGTGTGATGCCCAGGGCAGCAAGGCAGTGCTGAAGGCTCTCTTGTCGTGTTCCATGCAACTTCCTGGCTGGAAGTTGAAGCAAGGCTAAGTGGGCTCTCAGTGGAGTCTCTTTTCCTAAGTAGCTGCACAACCATCATTATCGGCTATCGGAGCGGCCTGACATTGCCATCCTATCCCAGCAGAGCTGGACATGCTGCTTAGCACACCAACAGGTCCCTGCACACCCAGACTCTTTACACAGGTCCCTGACATGGGCACTGGGTATGCCAGCATTGATGTTCCATGTCAGAGTCTAAGGGCCCCTTAGTGAGAGACGTCATGACCCCTGGGAATGTTCTCCCACTGGCTTCCTAACCCACCATGCCCTGTGACACTCCTGGGGCTTGAATAGTTTCACTGCCAAGAGCTCTCACTGTCTTCACAAGATCTCTCTGCCTGTGCCTACATTGGAAGTGGGAAGGAACGGCAGTCAGGTGCCCCCAGTACTCCAGGTCCTAAGACATCTTCTACCAGGCATGCATGCCAGCCCTCGCTATCCACCAGCACCTCAGGAGCGTACCCGCAGCACGCAGTTCCGTCAGCAGAGGGCGCCCTTGGATAGCTTTGCATGGGACCGGCACACCCTAACCTGGCTACAGCGGTGTCTAGTAGTCTTCTGGGTCAAATAGTTGACCTGGTTCCAACTTTAGTGGAAGAGTGGGGATAGCCAGACATTCCTGTCCTATCCCAGTTCACACCTCAGACTCCCGGTCCTCTACAGAGAGGATGGTGCACCTGTTTCCACCCGTCTGTTCCTGCTGACGCCTTGCTGGTTGTTGCCCTCTGAGGTATCTATAAGGTACACTCTCCATGGGTCAGGGAAGGAAAGATGGTTTCTAGATTCCTTTTCCTCCAGGCTGATGGTGGCATAACTTCTAACATAGGAGAATAGTTGATGTCTTCATGAGGATCTATGGGGAGGTAGCAGCTGAGGTCTCACCTAGTTTCAATCAAGGGTGGCATCAGGAGTGGATTCAGGTACCCTCAGGGCCAGCCTAGAGGCTTACTATATTGATGGGGACAGGCCCTCCTGCTCAACATACTAGGTGTTTGTTTTTCTTAAAAATTTAAATTTAGAGTATTTTTAAATTTATTTTTTTACCTTTTCTTTGATTTGCATGTTGACAAGGAAATCTCAGAAAGTGTGAGTCTAGGGTTGCCCCAAGTCCATGGTCTCCCACCCTCTTCTCCTCCTCTCCTCGGATCCCCTGTGACTGACACTGAATGAGACACACTGTGCCCAGGCCTTTATGCAGTGGGAGACACAAAGATGCTTCAGCAGCTGCCTCTGTCGAGGGCAGCTCTCAGTCCAGTGGGTCCTGGGTAGGACTCTTACCCAGCTGTGTGGAGGTATAGGATGGAGCCAAGAGAGTGAGTTGTTGGCTCCTCGCTGGAAGGACCACTGGGGTTGGCTGGAGAAGCTTGCCTTTAAGTATGCCTTGAATTGGCAGCTTGACCCCTGTTGGTAGAAGAGGACCCCTGTTGACCTCAGGCAGGTGAGCTGCAGAGTGGTACCACACGCGGCTGGGTTTGCCGATCTCTAAACTGGCCTATTTGCTGCTCGCCACGGTTGGCCAAGGTTGAGGTTTTCCTGTTTCCTTCTCACCCTATCCTCTGTTCCAGAGTCTGATTTTCCGGAGGACTTCTCCATCCTGACAACCGTGAAAGCCAAGAAAGGCAGCCAGGCCTTCCTGGTCTCTATTTACAATGAGCAGGGCATCCAGCAGGTGGGGCTGGAGCTGGGCCGCTCTCCCGTCTTCCTCTATGAGGATCACACCGGAAAGCCCGGGCCTGAGGAATATCCTCTCTTCCCTGGCATCAACTTGTCAGATGGCAAGTAAGTATCCTGTCGAGGGAGGGAGTGGAGCTGCTGGCTAGGCAGCATGGGGCAGCAGCTAGCCAGGTATGGCACATTCCGCCCACTGGCAGGGTACTGGGAGGATGGACCCCTGGACCTGCAGTCCCAAAGCCTGGGTTCTGCAGGGCTCAGTTTCTTCTCTTCTCTAAAGCTCCAGGGACCTTTGTTGTTCCCAGCCCCATTTCCCCGTAGAATGCACTGAGTGCGCCCTCGGCTGGCCCTAGATCAAAAGGGACAGAGGAGATTATATGGCCGTGCCTGCCTGTTCCCAAAGGGACTTATTCTTTCTGGATCTGGCACATTCTCTGTGTGAATGAATGAGAACAAAGGCCTACCCCCAATATTCTGCAGGGAGCACCCTAGATGCTGGTGATCACCCCAAATGTAACCCTGGGGACTTCAGGCCACGACTCCTGAGTTTTCTGGCAAGATTCCGTATCTACCTCTTACCCCCCCCCCCCCCACACACACACAGTTGCCATGGGGGTCATACCCTGCATACAGACTGGAGCGCTCATGATAATGTTGCCATGACTGCAGCCCCCCATGACTCCTTCCCATGGCTGCACCCACCCCTGAGCCCACAAGCTCCTACCTTCCATGGGCACCCCAGGAGCTCCCGGGGTTTGCATCTTAGGGATGAGAAGTCTGTTTCTGAGAGTCTGGGTGGACTAGAGAGAAGGTTTCTTGTATTTTACATCTGTCCCCAAGAAGCACCTGCATTAACAAGTGCTCCTCCCTCAGTCTAGCCTGCTTCATTGGAAGTAATGGGGCCCATGTCAGGACTTCACAAAGCAGAACTTCCCAGTCACAGTCAAAGTGGGGTGGGTGGGTGGGGGTTCCTAACAGAGACAACTGAATTAGGACAAAGGCTGTCTGGTTTATAAGCATTGATTTCTTGTTGCCTACCGACACTCTGTGGTCACAATGGGAAAAGAAGCCTACTGTGGCCTTTGAAAAATAGTTCGGAAACCAGTGCATGTGATCCCTTCTGGACTCTTGGAGAGTCTCTAAATGACAGTGAAATTCTCATGTGATATTGCCCAGACTTGTGTCCAGATTTGCCACTCAGAGGCTATGCAGCACACAGCCCTGGGTGCCTTGGTAGGATACTGCCACGAGGCTACACATTGGCCTTCTGCAGTATGGACCCCTTTCCCTTCCTGAGTATCTGTTCCTTTGCAGGTGGCACCGAATTGCTATCAGTGTCCACAGGAAAAACGTCACCTTGATCCTTGACTGTAAAAAGAAGATTGTGAAGTTCCTCAACCGCAGCGACCACCCCATAATAGATGTCAATGGCATCATCATGTTTGGCTCTCGGATCCTGGATGATGAAATATTTGAGGTAGGCATGAGATAGACATTCTCCCATGCCACTTGGGACACTTGTGGGCAAGTGGTGGCCCCTCCTATAGAGACGCTATGACTACCGTGAGAGACCCATCTCCTCGGTTAGGGACCAGTTTGACTCTATCGCTTCCCACAGGATGCTGTGGCCTGTGAGTGGAGAGGTCAGACTGGCTGCCGTGTGAGAATCATGCAGGGATGGTAATGATACCCTTTTCCAGGCAGTCAGTCCTTGACTCCTGGGTGCCAGGTTGGGGTAGACACAGGGCAAGCAAGCCTGCTCTGACTGGTACTTTGTGATGGGCAAGGGTCCCGCTGACAACTTTTGAGTGGACTTTCAGGGCGGAGCTAGGCCACATAGTGGGACTGTCAGAGGTGCAACTGATTCAGTGTGTGTGTGTGTGTGTGTGTATGCTAAGTCAGTGCTGTTCCAGCCTGGTCCAGAGCCTGCTTCGCTGGGAAACACCCGAGAGGCTGGAGGAGGAAGCCCAGCAGAGCAGGGCCTGGGGCCTGAGCTCCAGTCTGCAGAGTCCTCTGGATTCATGTCAAACATGGAAGGATATTGGGGATTTTTTTGCTTCAGGAAGAAAGTTGAGTGCCTGTGCAGGTGTCTGGTGGTCCTGGAGGCCACCGGCAACCGGGTGAACTGAGATAGGACCTGGTGCCATCTTTGAGGTTTGTGTCCCACGTGCATCTGGAGCCAGAGCCCTTGGGCTAGGACGCTTGGTCTGGTTCCCCTTCTTTGACATATCTGGACTTGGTGGAAAGTTTGTTGGTACAGGGCTCCCTGGCTGAAGACGTTTGACAATCACCTGGAAAATGGTCTCTGAGGGTTATGTTGGCTCTCAGATGTCCCCCTCCAGGGCTTGGACAGGACAGATCCTAGATTCCCAAGTACCATGTGAATGTCATTACTCACTGTGAATTCGCCACTGCACCTGACTGAGGCGTGCTGATGGCCTCACAGCTGCAGTGGAGTCCTAGAGCCACGTCCCCTCAGACGCTCAGGGCCCAGCAAGCTGGGTGCAATGTCAAGTTGACCCTAAGCCCTCTGCCGGTAGCTTGTGGAATTGCCATGTGACGGCCACATGGGTCTGTGAGAAAAAATGGCTCATGGTGGGGTCATGGTAAGGAGTGCCCAATGAGTGTGGGCTCCACTCGCTGCGGAGGTTAGGCCGGAGTCTGCTAGGGTGAAGAGGGGCTGCAGTGACGAGTTGAGGAGATTCTAGAACAGCCATCTGCCTGCTGGGGAGACAGGGTGGCCCTCCAAGAGAAGATGGGAGCAGGGCGTGGATGTGTCTGCTACACTCAGCTGCCTTCCAAAGGCTGATTTCTAGGACACTGGAGCCCGGGGCTTCTGCCAGGTGGGATGGGCACATGGGTTGTGCCGACAGTGCCAAGTCCTCTAAACCATGGAGCTGTTCTCACTGCCGGCTTCTGACCAGACTTGCCCAGGGATCCGGGATGAACTGGAGGGTGGCTGAGTGTCCTCAGCTAGACAGAGGTGGCTGCTGGCCTCTTCTGGGGAGCTGAGACGGACAGCTGGCCTAGGGGTCAAGTACCGATTTCACTGATGACCCCGTAGGAGGCTCTGGGTAAAACCTGAGATTCTGGCAAATGCCAGGGCTACCCTGGAGAGAGTGAGTAAAAGGGGCATCTGAGGAGCCGGAGAGAGAACTCTTAGCCAGTGGGGCTAGGATGGCTCCTGCTGTCCAGTCTCTGGTGACCAAATTCTTGAAGGCAGGCATGTAAGGGCTTCCCAGGGCTGAGCAAAACATCAGGTCCGAGTCCTTTGTGTACTGGTGGGGTCAGGCTGTGCCAAACACTCGCCATTTCTGCAGGGTGTGCCAGCGTGCCTTTTATCATCATGTTTCTGGAAAAAGTTTGTGTGTGTGCTTGCGTCTGTGTGTGTGTGTGCGCGCGTGCATGCACGTGTGTGCCTATCTCTCGTGTGTATATGTCTCTCTGTGTGTATGTGGCTTATGCATACACATGTGCTCATGTTCATGCGTGTGTGTATTTGCACATGCACATGTGTGCACATGAAGGCCAACAGTCAATGTCAAATGTCTTTCCCTGTTACTTTTCACCTTGTTTTTTGATACAAAGTCTCTCACCAGCCTGGAGCTCACCGGGTTAGCAAGACTGGCTGGTCACGAAGCTCCATGAGTTCCACTGTTTCTGCTTCCCCAGATCCACTGTGGCAGGCGTGCACCACCATGCTCAGTTCTGGGGCTTCAATCTCAGGTCCTCACGCTTGTGTGACGAGCATTTTATTGACTGAGCCGAGCATTTTATTGACTGAGCTATCTCCTCAGCCTTGCACCATCTTAAAAGGATCCCCAAACAAATCCTGTAGTGGAGCAGCCAGTACTGTTCTCCAGAATGTGTGGGAAGGTGCTCCCCAAGCTCAGGGAACTAGACCCAGTTCAGAGGTCTTGGCTGGGTTTTCACCATACCTGAGGCTCAATTTTCCCATCTGCAAAATAGGGACAATAATAATATATTTGCATGTGTGCATGTATATGAATGTGTGTGTGTGTGTGTGTGTGCGCGCGCGTGAGTGTGCCCGTGTGCGATGTGCAGAAATCAATCCATGGAAGGCATACACATGCGTGGTCCATAGCAATCACTCTGTAATGGTTACCAATTTGTGTTGAGAACAAAGACAGGTCCCAGTTTGCAAACCCATTTGGATACAGGCTGCAGAGTCCAGTTTTGCCTTTGTCTTTCTCTTGCCACGCACAGGGTGGGTGCCACCCTGCAACCGATGAGCAGCAGGTTGTAATGCTCTCACCGCCCCACATTTCTGGCGAGCTGTTTGCTCCTGCCGTGGAATTTGATTTGAGGGAGAGAGGCTGCCAGAAGCCAGGGATTTTTGTTGACCACAAGTTGTTAATGGTCTGAGGGCTGTGTTTTCCCAGCCCCAGGGTTTCCTGGCTGTTAGCTGTGCTCACGGCGGGAAATTGGACCTGTCTTCCTTAATGAAGACCAGCTAGGGCAGCAAGGCAGAGGGTGGCCAGTGGGGACTTTTCCTCCTCTTTGCTTCTTAAGGGTGTAATGACGGAGGTGGGGGGCCGGCCTCAGCATCTCTGGGTCTCCCTTTTGAAATAGAAGTGATTTAACTCTTTGCTTTCTAGGTTTCAAATAATAATGCTTGCTCTTTTCTCATTTTCACGGCTTGACTTCTCTCGAAGGTTCTTATTGGAAATTCTCCCATGACCATTTCTTCCCACAAGATTCTTGCTTGTTAAAGGCCAGTTTGTTCCATAGCGCTCTGGATTTGGGAGTGGGAGGGTGCTGGCGCTGAGACGGAGGCCAGGCTGCTGCTGGCACAGGCTTGCAGCGCTCCCTCTCAGCACCTCTGCTAGGCAGATTTGCTGAACTCCACATGGCTTCCAGCGGGCCTCAGAGAGGCTGGGGTGTTCATGGCCCCACAGAGACGTTTGAGCATCGTGAAGACACTCTGAAGGAGACGGTCACGGAGGAGACTCCCAGGGCCTAGTAGAGGCTTCTGCAACAGTGTCTTGTTCAGCTCTGTAATGTATATATGTTGAGCCCAACTGTAGTGGCCTTGGCAGGCAGTCTCTGGCAGCTGCTGGCTCACTTGGGCACAGCCCCTTTGCCTCACTAGCTTGGATCTGAATCTTGGGGTTTTGCTGATGTTTGAGGGAGGCTGTGATAAGCCACTCAGAGAGAAAGTGAAGGAATACAGAATGCAGATGTCAGCTCCTCTTGGGTGGCCTTCTGGTGGTCTTCCTGGTTGAGGACTTGGAACTCAGCATTCACATCTGTAAAATGGGTACGATCGGACCACCAATCGGGCCGCGCATTGAAAACTGTGTGAAGGGCCTGCTCAGGGCCTTTGGGGAACCATGTTGAACTCAGGCCCTCTGGTTGTCAAAGCTGTGGCCCTCCTGGCCTGTTGACGGTGGCAGTAACTGCTTTCTCCGTGAAGGCAAAGATAGAGGCTGTCCCACCTCTGAGTTTTCCAGAGTCATCTAGCGAGTAAGTGTGTTGACTTCCTCTCAGAGGTGAGGAGGGAGCAGAGCCTCTTGGCCATCCCCTTGCCTCCGTCTGAGCAGAGAGACTGCAGAGAATGGATGGACACAGCATTGCTGTAAGCCTGGTCCCAGTTACTGCTGCTGGGAAACCGGCCCCAGCTTTGCCCTGCCATCTCAGAAGCCCACTGTGAACCATGGGCTGCTGTTCTCGTCACCGGGGCCTCACGCTGTCTGGGTCTTGGGGGATTACTAGGATCTTACTGGTCTCCCTTGCTCACTCAGTCGACTCTAAGCCCATGCTGGTTTTTCCTGAGGGGGTATGCTGTGAGTTTTGTCCCTTTCCTTGCAATATGCCTGAAATGTGAGATGCAGGAGGTGCTGGCCAGGTCAAGGCCCCACGATTCAGAAAGTGTGTGTGTGCGTGTAGGGTTTGCCTCGACCTCCCCCATGTGGACAAACATCCTCTTTTCATCCTCGAGTAAGCTCTGGGGATTGGAAGCAGGGGTGCAGCTCTCAGGGAAGGTGTTGTCTGGAAGCAGGGGTGCAGCTCTCAAGGAAGGTGTTGTCTGGAAGCAGGGGTGCAGCTCTCAGGGAAGGTGTTTTCTGCATGGTGGAAGCGAGCTGTTCTTAGCTGGAGTGTCTTTGTAGCCAGACTGTCAGCAGCAGCGAGGTGCTGGGAGCTGAGGGCCCTGTTCCCATCAGAGAACACCAAGAGTTGAGCAACTTTATCAAACGTGATCCACAACATGGCAGAAGGGGATTTCTGAAGCCAGGGAAGACTCTTCTCTAGCCATGCAGCCTCGCTCTGGACCTCTGCCACTGACTCCTGCGATCCTACGTTAGCCAAAGTCACCTGGTCCTGTCAGATCTATGAAGCTTGGAACCTTATAGAAAGAACCAGAACAAATGCCTTTCCAGGATGGAAGCTCATTGCATTGATTGTCTTGCATGCCGGTTAATGACCTGCCCATCACTCTTGACTCCTCCTACTCCC